CCACCCTGAACATTCTAATCTCTCACCATTGATGTCTGGAGTTAGATCCCTGCAGAGGCCATTTCAAAAGGTATTGGGGGGAATTCAACCCTCCCTGAAGGGATTTTTTTTTTTTTTTTTACTTCTTGGATTTTTCTGCAGACACAGGAAGTCTACTGACTATGTAGGAAAAGCTGTTGGGGGAGAGTGAGCCTTCTGTTGGCAGAAATAAGTATCTACACAACCCATCCCCTGTTGGAATTAGATATAAAGATATGGAGCAGAGGTCCATCAGTGGCTATTAGCCACAAGGTATAGATAGGAACTCTCAGTCTGGGGCAAGTGATGCACTATATTCTTGGTGCTTGGGGGGGCAACAGTGGGAGGGCTTCTAGTGTCCTGGCCCCACTGCTGGACTTCCTGATAGCATCTGGTATTTTTGGCCACTGTGTGACGTAACGTTGGACTAGATGGGCCATTGGCCTGATCCAACATTGGCTTCTCTTATGTTCGTATGTTCTTAACCCTAGTGACAGGCCTGGCTCTAGATGAAGAAGCTTTGCTGCAGTGGTAAAAGACACCTCATTTAGCAGAAGGAAATTATTGGATCCAACCAACTGTATGTGGACACTGAAAAACTGGGATAAAGATATTAGGTCTGAATTTCTGTTGACTCACAAAACATACATTCGGATGCCAAGACACTTTTGGTCAATGGGGACTTTCTCAAAAAAGAGCATAAATATATGCTGATCTTACTCCTCCATTCTCCATGTGAACACATGAAGAGGATTTTAAAGGGACTAATATGTTACATAGCCCCTCCTTCAGTTTCTGATAAACAAGTATTTTCCACAGTCTAGTAGAATATATGGCATTACACATATTTGGAGCTTATGAACAAGAAGGTAAGGGCCTACAGCAGCAACTCTCAGCACCATTTGTAAAATACACTCACACCAGTGTAACGTGACTGGCCTGTTCACCTCTGCAAAATGAAAAATTAAAATTCTGAATGGACATGCAGACTTGATGTACATAGCCAAAGGACTGTGCAAACAGGCTGGAATCCTGCAGCCAGTTATGCATCTGTAAAGCTATTAAGATCAGTTAGATTGACTGCATGTAAATAAACATAGAACTACAGCCAAAGAAAATTATGCACATTCTTCTAAATTAATAAATGTTACACTTTAACCTTTCTTTTCCAGTTTGAAAAATATATGTAATGAGATCTTATAATAACCTCTTGTAATAACTAAAGCATTTTCAACATTTGAGTAAAAATGGTTAAGAATTAGGAATGTTGAAATCAAAGTGCAGAAATTAACCCTTTTATTATATTGTATACGGTAGTAGTAAAGTTTGTTGGAAGTGCATGAATAAAAAGTTAATTACAGGAGGAACAATCTATATAGCAATTATAGGTGCATTCACTGTGCATCTGAAAGGAAAAAAAAGGAGTTTTCACTCATTTTGGCCTAAAACTTTGTGTTCAGGTTTCCAGAATTCTGACATCAGAACCCAGATAACACTGATTAGAACCATAAGGCTTTACAATAAAAGCTAAAATATTGACCATATGATGGCAAAGAAGTCTTTATTTTGTGGTTAACTTAGTCTCTTCTAGCTACTCTCTGATGAAGTGGGTGGTGCTGTAGAGGAGGACCTCCTTCTCCTGGACAAGGACCTGGATCGCTCCGCACTGTAGGTCATATGCTTGTCATAGTTTTGCATCTGAGCTTCAAGGAAATCCCTTTGCTGCTGGCTGATTGTCTGGCTAATCAGTCCTGGGAGAGCTTGAATGCTACCAATTAATGTTTCCAGTTTTGTTTCCAGAGTAACAATCCTCTTCTCAAAGTCTTCGCTTCTTTCATTTAAGTCAGAAATCATATCATACATGATGTTTTGTGTCTGAAAAAAAGGAAAACAGAAAAGAATGGGGCAAAAATGGACCCTCTTTGCTGCTTTCTAAACATTTAAGTCATCTCCTTTTAACCACACACAGTGACAGAAAATGCAGAGGGAGAGTGGTAGAAAGCTGCCAGTTCCACCAGTGGTGTTCATTCCAGGTGGTGCTACAGCGGTGCATGACAAAGGATTTCTTAGTGGAGCAGTTCCAAATATCAAGCAAATTATGATCTGGATTAGTCAGAAAATTCTTCCAGATATGCAGAAAAATATTTCAAATGAATAGTACTGTTTGGAGTTGGGGGGAAATCCTCTGTCTGTGGAACACGGGTTTTTAAAGATCTGTCCTACTTTCATTTCCTCCCACCATTCAGAAAAGAACTTCCTGTCTAAGTGTCTTTGCACACATGATGTCACAAACACATTTTCCACTATGTTTACATGTAGTGCTGAACTGCTGCCTATCACAGGTGCTTGCTGTGTGTACACTAATCTGTTCCTTATTACAAGGAATGCTTTCTCATTTATTTATTGCTGAAATACTGTGGGAAAAGAAGAGATGTTTCATAACTGCAAATAACATATTACAATATATTCTTATAAAGTACGTGTATTGTTCTTTAACATGTAAGGCAACATTTTCTTATGATTTCATAGTGTGTTCCTTATTTTGGAGTTCTTCAGGGGACAACCATAGATATACCACAAGTTGTACAATGAAAATGTAGGTTTCTTGCAAGCACATGTTCATTTTTATATGTACACAAGAACATTTTAAGTACACATCCAAAAACTTTGATCTGTGAAGAGGCCCAAGAAGCCCTGGTTGAGGCTAAACAGATGTCCTTTGGGCCGGGGACAACCAGCAGATGTTGGTCAGCAGAGCGCAAGGCTCTCCGAGGGACATATGGGACAAAAACGGTCCCTTAGATATGTTGGTCCCAGGCCACATAGGGCCTTAAAGGTTAATACCATCACCTTGAAATGTTAAGTGATTTACAGTAATCTAACCTGGAAGTGACCATTGCATGGGTCACTGTAGCCAAGTCCCAGGAAGAGAGATAGGGAACCAGTTACCTGATCTGCCAAAGATGATAAAAGGCAGACCTGGCAACAGTAGTGACCTGGCCCTCCATAGAGAGTGAGGCATCCAGGATCACCCATAGGTGCCTCACCTTCTGCGGCAGCACCAACAGTGCCCTGTCCAGGGTCAGGAGCCTGACTCCCAAGCCTATCACCCGAACTCACGTACAGGACCTCTGTCTTTGTTGGATTAAGTTTCAGCCAGTTCTGCTGTAACCACCCAGCCATGGCCTCCAAAGCCCTGTCCAAATTATCTGGGGTGGAGTCCAGGCAGCTGTCCATCAACAGATAGAGCTGGATGTCATCAGCATACTGGTGACAACCCAGCCCAAACCTGCATACAAATTGGGTGAAGGGGCACATATAGATGTTGAACAACATTGGTGAGATGATTGTCCCCTACAGCACTCCACGTTCCAGTGGTATCACTGGGAGACTGTCTCACTGAGCGCTACCTTCTGTCCCCGACCATAGAGAAAGGAGGAAAGCCATTGTAAGGCAGTCTGCCTTATTCCTACATCACCCAAGCAGTGGGTCATTAGATCATAATCATTTGTGTCAAACACAGCCAAGAAGTAACAGCAGCACTGAACTGCCCCAATCCAGGTGTCTCCAGAGGTCATCTGTGAGGGTGATCAGTGCCATCTCTGTCCTGTTGCCAGATGGAATGGATCCAGTCTGGATGTGTCATCCAGGAAAGCCTGAAGCTGCTCAGCCACCGCCCTCTCAACTTCCTTGTCCAGTAACAGCAAGTTCAAAACTGGGCAGTAGTTGGCTAGGACCGCAGGGTCCAGTGATGGATTTTTAAAGAGTGGGGAAAGTCCCCAATGAAAGGGACTAGTTGATAATCCCTTCCAGTGGGGCCCAGACCCAAGCCCAGCAGACCTTGACCAGCCAGAATAGGCACAGGTTAAGGAGGCAAGTGGTAGGCCTCACAGCTGCCAGGATCCTGTTTACATCCTCCCAAGAGAGTTGGCTAAAGTGGTCCAAAAGTCGACCTGAAGACCGGCGAGGAGCTTCCAGTTCCTTTGCTGTATCAGTTGTGGTCCAGTAGAGCAACATGACTTTGGATGAGAAATAGCTTACAAATCCCTCACAGCTGATAGCCAATTCCCTACTGTTTTGTTTGCCTCGCGGCAAGGTAGTTAGTGACCGAATAGTTCTAAACAATTGGGCAAGTGAGAGCTCACAGATGCAATGGAGGCCGCATAGAAGTCTTTCTTTGCAGCCTTCATTGCCATTTCATAGACTTTCATAAACATCTATGTTTTTGCCACTTTGTCACAATGCTCTGTACATGGGGCTGCCTTTGTTGCGGATCCGGAAGCTGCAGCTAGTGCAGAATGCCGCGGCCAGGCTGTTTATGGGTGTCCCTAGATGGGAGCACATCCAGCCTGCACTGAGGACACTGCACTGGCTGCCAATAGCATACCGAATCCGCTTCAAAGTGCTGGTTCTTACCTTTAAAGCCCTATATGGCCAGGGTCCAACATACCTACGGGACCGCCTTTCCCTGTATATACCCCAGAGAGCACTACGGTCTGGGTCTCAAAATCGGTTGACCCTCCCTGGCCCTAGGGAGGCCAGGCTAGCTGCTACTAGGGCTGGGGCCTTTTCGGTGGTGGCCCCTACCTGGTGGAACGAGCTCCCGGAAGAGATCAGGGCCCTGCGGGACCTCTCACAGTTCCACAGGGCCTGCAAGATGGAGCTCTTCAGCCAGGCATACAATTAGGGGCTGCTGCCGTTGCCCTAGTGCACAGCTCGTAATGTTAACATCGAGCAGCTGCTTTAAGAATGAGCCGAATAACATCTAAACACTTTATGTGGAATAACATCGAAGCACTTTGTTGGAAAGCACTTTATTCGTTTGATTTTTAACTGCTGCCAGTATTTTGATATTTGTAATGTTCTAATTTAAATGCTGTGTTTTAATTCTGTATTATTTATGTTTTTATTCTGTATTGTTGTGTTTGTTGTTGGAAGCCACCCTGAGCCTGCTTTGCAGGGAGGGCGGGGTATAAATTTGACTTTAAATAAATAAATAAATACATTGCCACCCCCGCTCTAGCTGTCTCAGCACTTGTTTCATCCTCTGTGGCTCTGGGGTTTACCATGAAGCTAGATTGGCCCAAGGGCAGAGAGGGCATGGAGGGAGGATCTCGTTGATGGCTTCAGAGAGTTGGCAATGCCAGTCCTCCACCAGCACATCTAATGAATTGCTAGGGGACATTGGATCCCACAAAGCAATCTGAAGCCAATTAGTGTCCATTAGGCTCTGCGGGTGAGCATAACTTCACGTACTGTCTAAACAGGGAGGGTTTGGTGTGCTCAGCCAGGCCTTCAGGGTGAAGTGATGTGACCATGGCACTGCCTCAGCAGTTTCCAGATTCACATTTATCCCCGTCTCCAAAATCAAGTCCAGCGTGTGGCCTGCTTGATGCGTGGGAATAAATACAAATTGGGAGAGCCCCAGCACCTCCATGGATGTCACTAGGTCCCAGGCCTGAGAGGACGTCACATCATCGACATGGATGTTGAAATCTCCCAGGACCAACAGCTTAGAGACATTGTTACAAGGTGCAACTATTGAGGAAGTTTATCATTTTGAAAGTTATACAGTACCATCCTAAGCAGGATTATACCCTTCTACAACCATTAACATCGATTGGCTTGGAATTATGTAACTTTGCTTAGGATGGCACTGTTACACATTCAGCAATTAAAATGTTCATGGATATTCCTCAACATCATCCAGGAAATACATGGTTATGTATAGGGATAAAGTTAGGTTTATTGCAGACACGCAATGAATAGACATTTTTTAGCCTAAGAATTATGTAAATATGACTGTAGCTCTTGTCAACTTACTTATTTTGATAGTATACTGAATTACTACCATATGTGTATACGTATTAAAACTTAAACTTATTGTTATGACAACTGTTTTTAATAATTAATTTATGGTACTGTTTAAATGGTGTTGTCGCCCTGAGCCCTGCTGTGCACGGGAGAGCGGGCCATATGTCCAATGAAATAAATAATGAATGTATGTATATCATGTCATATAATTTTTATAATTACATGTGATTTGCACAATTCTATAAGTTACAAATGTGTATGTATATATAAATATATACATTTTGAGAGTTATAAAAATTTGGCACAATTGAATAAATCTATAGAAAAATACAATTCATTATGCTAAAATATATGAAATGGTTACCAACTGCCTGCAAAATGAGTTTCCTTAATATGAACTTATTCCTTATATGAACTAATTCTATTCATTTCAGTAATTTTACAAGTCGCCATACCTTGGCTGTCCAAATTTTAATACTTAATCTCTTTGTACTCTTCCAGTTGTCAGATATTACCATCTTTGACACACTATTGCCCTATATTTAAATTTAACACAGGGCTTTTCCACATGCTTTACTTACTCCTGATTTTCTTGGAAGTGTATCCACAAGCATTGGAATTGGTTTGGGCACAGTTCTACCCCATGTCTGTCCTCCTTCTGCGTTTTCACTGATGTGGAGTCAGTTCATTTTATTCTGCACAAACCTTAAATAATCAGAGACTTCAAGGGACAGTGCTGTTGTCATCAGTAGCATCACAGCACCCCCTTTGTTTTATCAATATCTCAATATCATGGCTACATTCTAAAAACTGCATTAAAATATTGATATATTGATACAGTGCTGCAATGATAGGTCAGGCAGGTTATCTGAGTTTCCAGCTTGCATTTTTAAAGTTACTTTCTAGCCCCTTCCTTTATGGATATATGCATTTTCCCTTATACCTCTGCAAGGGAAGCAGCTAGAAACTTAACTTTTTAGAAAAATTAAAGCTGGGAATTCAGAGAACCTGCTTGATCTACCATTATAGCAGTGTATCAATAAGCAGAAGGAAAAGGTGACTTAAAATCAGCTTCCAGAAAAAGACTGGGGTAAAAGTGATCTCAAAAGAAATGGAAAAAACCCAGGGGGAAACAAGAAAACTGAAGGAAAACTAAAGGCACAAAAACTGTATGTGGAAATCAGGAGATAAACCAAAGCAGTATGCAAGGATGGGCACGAATTGGCTCACAGACTAAAGTTGATGACGAATTCTGGGCCGTTTGTGGTTCATGAAGTCAAGTTCATGGCAGGTCAAGTGCCACTAACTTTCCACAAACTGTGGAAGTTTATGCCAGTTTGTGAGCAGAGATATCCAGACACACTGTCTTCACTCAGTCAAAATATTTACATAACTTCAAAGCAACAACTTGGAGGACATGTAGAAGAGCTTCTGAGGGAGGTCCCCTGCAACTTTGATGTCTCTGGCTTGCACAGGATCCATTCTATACATTCCTGAACCTCGATCATTTTGATGGGTGCAAGTTCAAGAGGTTCAGGGGTGTATAGAATGGATCCTGTGTGAGCTAGAGACAACAAACTCACAGTGGACCTCCCCTGGATGCTTCTCTACATGCCCTCCAAGATTGGTGCCTCTAGCTTGCACAGAATCCAATCTATACACTTCTGAACCTCCTGAACCTGAGCCTGTCAAAATGACCACTGTGGTCATTTCTCCAGATAGCACTTCCTGGGGGACATAAATTCAATTCTCACCAAACGTGTTGGGCAGGTAGAGGAGAGTCAGCCAGAGATTTCTTGTGAGTTTTATGTCTCTCACATGCCATGGGGGCATTCTACCACCTCACAAACTGAACTGATCTGTGAGGTGGCTAAAAGTTTGTGACATCCCATGGTTTGTGAACGGCTCATGCCATAAACCATAAACCATATCACTGTTTTTGGTTCATGCCCATCCCTAGAAGTATGGGACCAGAACAAAAACCCATGCAGAAAAGCCCATAAGTATCTTACAACCCTACCAGAATTTAGCATCCAGTCAGTTTTCTTCCAATACTTTTGTCCAGACATTCTTAATCACAGAGCAACTTTACCACTATATGTTGAAATTCTGTTCTTTGTGAACCATGCTTCCAACAACCATCATTGCTGTATATCAATTCAATCTATGTGGAGTTAGATACTACTGAATTACCTTTTATCTTGAACTTTAGAGGTTATTCAGTTGTGTCATTTTACAAACGAAAATAAACTCATTGACACCTCTTTTTACACCTTTCCTTTCCTTCCTTTTATTCCCTTAGAAGCTCACTGATTCATAAATCTTGAGCAGTGGAAAATACTCATAAATTTTACACCAACCTTTGCCAAGTCCACCAAAGTGTTTGCCTGATCATTCAGTTTTCTCTGTTCCATTTTAACACTTCTTAATCTAAAAGATGAAAATTCAAGTTAGATAACTGTTTTTGCCAGCTCAAAAACTTTCATACAGCATGCATCTAGACAGATAACTGCATGGACAATGTCTTGGATACTTTGTGTACAGTCATAACTGTTTATGTGTCTGGTACAATGAAAAGCATGCTTCCTTAACACCGCAAAAAAGAAAGAGAGCAAGGAAATGTGATGTCCCCGAGACTACTAATTGCCATGGTTAACGCTGAATTCAAAGTGGGAGGTAAGGATTTATTCATAGTGTATGAAAGAAAGCCAAAACATTCCTTAAAGCTCCAGTATCATGGCAAGTAGGCATAGGAAGTAATGAACAATAATTAGCTCTTCTCCTTAATTAAAAGTCTTCCTTATGCCTACAAGACTAGATACAGGTATAAGCCCTCTTCAGTCTGAAATGGATTTGGTTAGGAGGAGTTTGAACCTGATGAAAATACAGTGATAAGTGAGTTCCTTGTTAATTTTAAAAAAAACCTTGTATCTGACCAGCAGCTAAATAAAGAGCATTCTTGTTAATATTCCTACCCTTAATGTTGCTGACTTGGAATTTAATCCCATTAATTTTTAAAATGTGCATGCACAAAACAGGCTTCTTAATTGGTTTTAGTTGGACTGTTTATGTGCCCATGATTAAACTAGAACACTCAGAAGTATCATATATGTATACTATAAAAGATACTCTTGGGTATATTCTTCCCCTGATGCCTAAGAAATTCTAGTTGTGCTAATTAGCTGAGCATAATAAGAGAAGGGAAAACAAGATAGGTTTTTAAACCCTTGTAATAAGAAAAATTTAAAGTCTTTGATTACAAGCTTGTACCCAACTAGTCTCACTTAGTGAGACCCAGATTGGTTTTCTCAATATTGAAAACATATAAAGACAGAAGTGTCTTTAGTCTCAACTATCAGTGATAGAAAAAAGCCTTCTACAAACGATGAATGGATCAAACAAACATAAATGGTTGTCATTTTAAAATGTGTGCCCAGGACTCTATAATAATTCCAATATTGAAACATTTGGTTAAATGCAGGCAGGCTTTCCTACTCATTTTATTGGAGGAGGTAGCTCCACAGGGGCTTTGATCATGCACAGCTGCTATTTCCATTGAAGCGAATGTGAAGCCCTTGCTGGTAAGGCCACTTGGTGTGCACACTGGAAATCCACACCCACAACTGCTTGTCTACCTTATGATGGCAGTCTACCAACAAAAAGCTACAAAGGCAATAAACGAGGTTGTGTGTCCAAACCAGCAGTTGTGGGCACGATGGCTTATATCCTACCAGTGACTTAGATCTTTGCTGTGCATACCTTCCTTTTGCAATCCCCTTTGATACATGAAAAGCTGGTGCTGGATACTGTTCCATACAGAGGAAGGATTGCACAAAGTCAACCATTCATTCTTTTTTCTATTAACAGACTCTCTGAAGCACAATGGGCTGAAGAGACCAGGGTGATTTCCCCCCTCTGCATTGCAGGATCAAACCCATGTGGCTTTTAGACCATGTGGGGCCTTGGATCTCCAGAACCAGTGTTGCTCTGGCAGTCCTTCATTGAAATGAATTCAGAATCCTTGCAGGTAAGGCCACTTGGTATACACATTGGAAATCCACATCCACGACGTATTATTAATAATGGTGTGAGAAATTGATGAGGTCCATAACACACCACATTTGTCAATATTTGGTGGACTACTTTGTGATATGAAAATCTGTACTTCACTAAATAGGTATAAACTATGTGTGACTGGACAGAAATCCAACATTGCCAGAACCACCACTAATTATAGGGGTTCCTTGTTAAAATGTGTACATCCTGAATATGTACCATTGTAATTGTGCAACTCTTTCATCAAAGGTTGTTTGCAAATTTCTAATAAATCTCACAATGCCAGAACTCAGCTGCTTCTTGATTCAACCTTATGCCTCACCCCTTTCAGCACATTGCACTGAATTTATTAGAATGCAATATGAAGAATGAACATATGAATGGGATCACAAATTCAGCATTATTTTTGTTTGGGTAGGGAATTTATAAACCACAATTAAAGGAAGAAGAAAAATGTGTGTGTGTGTTAGTGTGCATGTAGAGGAAACTTGAATCATTCTGAGGGACTAGAAGCAACAGCAATGAAATGAAATATAACAGGAGTGCTGTTATATCCTTTCTAGCCCCAACAAAGAAGCAACCAACACTGTCCAAGTTTACTGTACAGATATTTATTCTGCAGTGGGCAAAGGAGAATGTCCTTCTATATCACAGGTATGCTTATCCTAATTTCTCCCTGAATTTTGATTTCTGCATTACCTAATCTCGCAGTGTATTGCTAATGGATTAGTAATTCCTAATTTTTACATTTCTGGTCTTTGTTCAGATAACTGCATGTGTGCAGTTTGCATGGCTTCTTTTAAAACAGATTACTGATGTGCTCCATTGCATGCATATTGCATATACAATATTGATTACAATATGACCACATCAGGCATCCATTGTGATTTAACTAATGCGCATTAATTAAATCACAGAACAAAAAAGGAATCCTGATAGAATTCTATGTTCACATCAAGATCCTCTGATAAACTGGAAGCAGCAATAACCTGTAAAGGAAAAAAGGGCATTGACTGCAAATTCTGTCAGTTCTGAAATGTATTTTAGATAGTCTCTAAGTAAAATCAGAAAAGATATGGAGCAGAGCAGAATGCAGGGTAGAGCAAATCAATGAAACAAGAACAGAACAGAATGAGGAAATCTACTCATATCAATTAGGCAGGTCATTTCTCCAAAAGAGAGCCTCTGGATTGGATTCCTGGTATTCTGTTACGAGTTTTAAAGCACATTTTGCCTGGAATTTAATCAGATATGTGTGTGTACAGGGCACTCATCGAAAATGTAAAAAAAAAAAGAGTTAAAGTAAGGTTGTTGTTGTTGTTCAGTCGCACAGTCGAGTCTGACTCTTCGCGACCCCATGGACCAGATCACGCCAGGCCATCCTGTCTTCCACCGTCCTCTGAAGTTGGCTCAACTTCATGTTCGTTGCATCTATGACACTGTCTAACCATCTCATCCTTTGCCATCCCCGTCTTCTTTGACCTTCAATCTTTCCCAGCATCAGGGTCTTCTCCAGTGAGTGCTCCCTTCTCATTTGGTGGCCAAAGTATTTGAGCTTCAGTTTCATTATCTGGCCTTCCAGGGAACAGTCAGGGTTGATTTCTTTGAGGATTGACTGATTTGTTCTTCTTGCAGTCCAAGGGACTCTCAAGAGTCTCCTCCAGCACCATAGTTCAAAAGAATCTATTCTTCGGCGCTCGGCCTTCCTTATAGTCCAACTCTCACAGCCATACATGACTACTGGGAATACCATTGCTTTGACCATGCGGACTTTTGTTGGCAGGGTGATGTCTCTACTTTTTATCATGCTGTTTAGGTTCGCCATCGCTTTCCTCCCAAGGAGCAGGCGTCTTTTAATTTCATGGCTGCAGTCACAGTCTGCGGTGATCTGGGATCCCAGGAACGTGAAGTCTGTCACTACTTCCACAGCTTCCCCTTCTATTTGCCAAGGAGTGATGGGGCCGGATGCCATGATCTTAGTTTTTTTGATGTTGAGCTTCAAGCCCACTTTTGCGCTCTCCTCTTTTACTCTGAGCAAGAGGCTCTTTAGATCCTTTTCACTTTCAGCCATTAGAGTGGTATCATCTGCATATCTGAGGTTGTTGATCTTTTCCCCAGCAATCTTAATTCCCGCTTGTGATTCATCCAGGCCAGCATTTCGCATGATGTACTCTGCATATATATTAAATAAGCAAGGTGACAGTATACATCCTTGTCGTACTCCTTTTCCTATGCTGAACCAATCAGTTGTTCCGTATCCGGTTCTAACTGTCGCTTCTTGGCCCTTATACAGGTTTCTCAAGAGACATGTGAGGTGGTCTGGTACTCCCATCTCTTTAAGGACCTGCCATAGTTTGTTGTGATCCACACAGTCAAAAGCTTTAGCATAGTCAATGAAGCAGAAGTAGATATTTTTCTGGTACTCTCTTGCTTTCTCCATAATCCAGCGAATGTTGGCAATTTGATCTCTAGTTCCTCTACCTCTTCGAAACCCAGCTTGTACTTCTGGTAGTTCTCTATCCACGTACTGTTGAAGCCTAGCTTGTAGGATCTTGAGCATGACCTTGCTAGCGTGTGATATGAGTGCAATTGTGCGATAGTTTGAACATTCCTTGGCATTGCCCTTCTTTGGGATTGGAATGTATACTGATCTTTTCCAATCCTGTGGCCACTGTTGCGTTTTCCAAATTTGCTGGCAAATGGAGTGCAGAACTTTAACAGCATCATCTTCTAAGACTTTGAATAGCTCAGCTGGAATACCATCACCTCCACTAGCTTTGTTGTTAGTAATGCTTTCTAAGGCCCATTTAACTTCACATTCCAGGATGTCTGGCTCAAGGTCAGTGATTATACCGTCGTGTTTGTCAAGGACATTGAGGTCTTTCTTGTATAGTTCTTCTGTGTATTCTTGCCATCTTTTCCTAATCTCTTCTGCTTCTGTTAGGTCCCTACCGTTTTTGTCCTTTATCATGGCCAGCTTTGCATGGAACGCTCCCTTGATTTCTCCAATTTTCTTGAAGAGATCTCTAGTCCTTCCCATTCTATTGTTTTCTTCTATTACTTTGCACTGTTCATTCAGGAAGGCCTCCTTATCTCTCCTTGCTGTTCTCTGGAAATCTGCGTTCAGTTGGGTAAATCTTTCCTTTTCGCCTTTGCCTTTCGCTTTCCTTCTTTCCTCTGCTATTTGTAAAGCCTCATCAGAAAGCCATTTTGCTTTCTTGCATTTCTTTTTCTTTGGTATGGTGGTGATTGCTGCCTCCTGTACGATGTCACGAACCTCTGTCCATAGTTCTTCAGGCACTCTATCTATCAAATCCAGACCCTTGAATCTATTCTTCACCTCTACTGTATATTCATCAGGGATGTGATCTAGG